AATGGTCTGGTCCATGGGGTGAGTGATATTCAATGTATCTATTATGTACTACAACTGTCCTACAATGTACTACAACTATAGCTCATGGTGGGTCTTGTGATGTGAATTATTGACCCTGACCAGGATTAACACAGAAATATCAAGGTTATACTAGACATGGAGATACCACTGTCACAGTCAGAATCAGGGTCATCTGTAGGTAACTAAGAGGTTATTGGCCTCTTGCCTGAAAACAACCTGTCCCATTACCAGTCAAGAATCACCAGAGTTGCCTTCTAGAATGACCCTCTCAGGATTCTCACCAACCAGAGCATTCTCCACCCTGGGCTTTCACTTAGAGGAATAATAATATTTATCTGTCCCATTAGAGCCCTCTTTAGAAATGTTACACCCTTCTTCCATTCATGCTGTATAAGTACTCTCTTTCATTCAGGAACTCAAGATTACCACCAAATCATTGACAGGATCTCCTTTCTTCCAGGTCAGTAAATATTCAGTATAGATATGTACTTGCATTTTCAGCTCCCTAGTGGTGATAGAAAGCAAAGGCCCTCCTAACAGGACCACCCTTTGGTTCCCCAAGCCCTTTCTGGAGAGGAATTGTCCCAACTATCCCTGAGGAAAGCAGGCCTGTCAGTGGAAGAAGTCCTCAACTCTTTCCCTAGGAAGAATGCAGACCTCTGAAGGAGCTGGGAACCTGAAGCCTGGGTCACTTTCAACCAAGATGGGACTAAGGAAAGTAAAGAAAGAGCCAGTACGAACTTTACTGAAAAGAAGTCCAAACTCATTAGGTGAATCTTCCTGGAGACTGGATCCAAGAGACCACTGGGTAGGTGAGCCCTCTCTCTCCTACTCAGCAATCAGGCGATATGATGACGAAGTTGTTGATTAGCAATTGATGTCTCAACCAGCATTTATCATTCCTTTTCTCTGTGTCAAGTACTGAGCAAAGTGCTAAGGAAACAAAGAAAAGCAAAGATGGGGCCCCTGCCTTTAAATAATTCACATTTTATTGGCAGACAAAACATGGAAACAATTACATAACTGCAAGCTATATATAGTACAAGGCATATAAATTTGAGGTCATCTCAGACAGAAGGTACTAACAGCAGAGGGGACCAGGAAGGGCCTGTTGCAGAAGTTGATATTGGAGGTGAGTCTTGAAGAAAATTAAGGAATCCAAGAGGTGGTGATGAGGAGAGAGAAAATTCCAGGCATAGAACAAGCCAATGAGAAGGCACAGAGGGAGGAGATAGAATATTCTGTTTAAGGAACAGAAATAAGAAGAAAAGAGGAAAAAAAAAAGAAAGAAAAAGAAAAAAGAAAAAAAATTTAAAAAATTTTTAAAAAAGGAACAGAAATAAGGCCATGTTCACTGAAGACTACAGGAAGAGGAATAAGGTCTGAGAAGACAGGAATAGTACAAAGGTGCTCAGTGTGAAAGGATTTAAAAGCTAAACAGGGGGTTTTCTATTTGGTCATAGAAATAACAGGGAGCCAATGGAGTTTATTGACTAGAGGGTTCATATGGTCAAGTCTACACTTTAGGAAGATCACTTTATTTTTTTTAAATTAATTTATTTTGATTTATCAACAATCACTTCCATAAGCTTTTGAGTTTTACATTTTTCTCCCCCTTCCTCCTTACCTCCCTCCCCAAGACGACATACAATCTGATACAGGCTATACATACACATTTCTATTAAACATATTTTCACATTAGTGATGTTGTAAGGAAGAATTGGAACCAATAGGAGGAACCACAAGAAAGAGACAAAATAAAAGAAAAAAATAGCAAATAGTATTCTTTGATCTGCATTCAAATTCCATAGTTCTTTCTTTGGAAGTGGATAGCATTTTCCATCATGAGACCTTTGGAGATGACATAGATCTTTGCATTGCTGAGAAGGGCTAAGTCTATCAACATTAGTCATTGCACAAGGTGGCTGTTGCTGTGTAAGATCACTTTAACAGTTGAATGGAGGACAGACTAAAGTGGGGAAAGAATGATGTAGGAAGACCAACTAGGAAGTTATTGCAATAATCTAGGAGTAAGATGATGAGGGCTTGCACAAACAAGGGTAGTAATAGTGTCAGAGGAAAGAATCCAGTATAGACAAGAAAGGCTGTGAAGGGGAAAAAAATGAACAAATAAATGTAAAATTGATTGTAGTGGTAGGATTGCCCGTAAAGAGTTGAGGATGACAGTGAGGTTGTGAGTCTAGTGACTAGGAAAATTGTGGTACTTTCCACAGTTATAGGGAATTTGGCAGTTGGATATCTGAGAATTGATAATTGATACTATGAAAGGTAATTAGATCATGAATCGAGATAATACAGAGGGAGAAGAGAAGAGGACCCAGGACTGACCTTTGAGGGACACCCACAACTAATCCTAGATGAAAATCTAGCAAAGGAAACTGGGGAATAGTTATACAGGCAAGCAGCAAACTTCTTGTCCTGAGACAGAGTAAGAGGAACAATCTTCCAGTTGGAGATTTCACTAGAGACATGTACATAGGTAGGTGATTTAACTGGAGCCCACTTTGCCAGACTTAGCTGCCTTGTCCTTGAAGAAATCATGTGGACCCTCATTCATCACAATCAACAAAACAACAAATCAAGCCCTAATTTGTAGGATTTGTGGATTTACAATTTTCACACTGACAATTTGCTAATCTTTCCTCCAGAGCCAGTTGGAGCTGTCTCCAGAATACCCCTAAATTGAGGGCCAAAAGAGGGGGAAAAGTGGCTGTTTCCAAGAGGTTAAGGATGGGAGGTGAAGATGAAGGAGGAATTCCATTGTAAGAGTTTGTGGGGATGACCAGAGTGGGTCTCACTCAATGCCATAAGGTCACCATCTTCCCTGAAGTCAGGCAGGCATACAGATCCTACTTTTGACATAGCCTTTTTCTGCTTGACACAACTGTGAGTTGTGTCTTCTAGCCTAGGCCCAAAATTAACAGGCCTGTCTTTAGCCAAACAGTAGGCTGACCCCAGAGAGGGACTTACAGTGCTCTCAGCTTGGAAATAGGATGCTGATTCTGGTTCTGAGAAGTTATCTTAAACATCAGCTTCCTCCCCTCCCCTGGCCCTGCTGCCACTCCCATGCCAGGTTTGGCTGTTTTTACCACCCCTTTTCTGCTTCTTAATCTATTCTGTGGATTTTTTGCTTGTTTGTTTGTTTGTTTTGAGCTCTCCACCCCACCTTCCATCTTACTTAGCCTAAGAACCTTGGTCCTCCAGAGCCCATCACCAGGAGATGGAGGACAGAGGCATTTCAGGGACTGGGGCAAAGCCACTAATGACAGGCAGCTCCTGAACTGGGCCCTGCTATAGGAAATTTATCTTTCTCTGGATCTAACTTGAAGTCCTAACCAAGTAATTCTTGCTGGTACTCAAAACCGACATCTTTCCTTTCCCTTTCCTCCAGCCCCTTCCCTTCTTCCTTTCAATATTTGTCTTTTTTTCTTTTCATCTTTGAGTGATTAATTTTTTTTAATTGGGGGGTGGGTTAGGACGTGGGGAGAGGAAGAAGATTTGGTTTTGCTTTTGCTTACTTAGCCTCCCAGCTTCTCCCTTACCAGGATCATGGACTTTATTTCTTTTGTTGATTTTCCATTTATTTCCTGACTTTTGTCTTCCTGGAGCCAAGACTGGTCCCTACATCAAATGATACAGCTTTTGACTTCCATTGTGTTTTTGTACCTGACTTTCCAGTAGTCCCAGTATCTCTTGTTTTTTTCTAGTTCTGCTCAACTCCCTGTAAATTAGTTTCTATAACGCTTTTCCCCCTATTTCTCTGGATCCTCCTCCTGGTCGGTTCTTCAAGGGCCAAATGGTATCCCATTGGAGTCTTACTCCACCTTCTAAACCGCCAGTTGTCCATCCAATCGATGGTCAAGAGGCTACCCTTAAATTTACACGTTCTGCCTACCTTCTCTCACCCCCTCCAAGCAGCCTCTTTAGAAATATTTTGGTTTCCATATGTGGATGACCTATCTTTCTGTCTTTAATTGCATTGGGGTATATCTCTAGCAGGGGCAACTCTAGCTAGGGATTTTTCTCGGCAAAACTCAGAGGGTTTTGCAAAAAAGAAAGGTGAGACCAATGGCTGTCTGCGGCGGAAATAATGTATTCGAGAAAGCAGCGCCTGTGCTGCCTAATCGAATGTGGATCCTCGTTTCTGCCTTGACCAGCCTTCAGGGAGGCAAAGAGCGAGTTCCCCCGACTCTTTGAACGTGCCTTTGTCTGGTGGCAGCTGACCTGAGCAGTCTTGGTCCTACTTGCTGACAGTGTGTGTATTGCCATGGCTGGTGGAGTAGGGAATTGCTACTTGAGGGAGTGGTCCCAAGAAGGAGGCAGCCGAGAGAGAAAGCAGGCCGGGGATTTCCGGGCAGAGGCGACTGCTTCTAGAGGGGCAGTGGATTCTCGTGGAGGGCCCCGGGAACAGGGAAAGAAGGGTTTTCATCAGATCTCTAGCCATGCAAAAGATGTTCCCTGACCGGGAATGGAATCAGGCCGCAGCGGTGAAAGCGCCGCATCCTAATCTAACTGGTCTAAGCCAAAACGTTCTCACACCAGCTGTCACGGCCACCTTGTCTCGTCCAACATGCCTCCCTACACCAACCTACACCTCGGCCTTTTCCAGCCTCTGAGACGCTTATACCATACAGCCAGCTTCCATTTCCTCAGCTCCGCTCCTCCCGCAAACCCGATACGCCACGTCAAGCGGACTCACCTCTCCGTGGCTCAGAGGCCCCTCTCTTGCCGATTGGTCCCCCCTCTGCGCCTTTCCCCCATCCCCTTCCATTTTCACATACCCTCCTCCTGGCCCCCAGGCTCTAGAACCCTAGCGGCCACGGCCATTTTCGGCCTCCTCCTCCCGCTCATTCCGGGCATCCATCCGGACGCCCCACAGTAGCCAGGCACCGCGCCCCGCAGCCCCCAACCACCTGCGGGGCTGGCGGGCGGAAGGTGAGGCACAGGCCCTTCCTTACCCTGCAGATGACCAAACCGCGACCAAACCGCAACCCCGCCGCCGGAAAGCTGACGCCACTGAGAGGTGCTCCTCGCCCGGCTTCCTCCAAAAAGGCGCGTCCTACCAGGAACATAGACTGGAGCTACAGCTGTGGGGCCGCTAGCAGCTCTGGCTAATCCTGGACCAGAGCTCCGAAGTGGACGGCGAGAGGGCGCTGGCGACCAGCCCTTCAGCCCAGTGTCGTTCCTCTCCTGCCTCAGCTTCCTGTTCTCTCCCGACCAGCTGGATGGCCCAATAGCTACTGCTTCTCCATCCTCTGATTTCCGAAGTCTCCACAGGCAGGAGGAGCCAAGCAACCTCGGGGAAGCCCTCCCTTGCCTGGCCAGTGACCTAGGGGCAGGGGAGTGAGGAGGGTGACAGTGAGATCACCTGAAATGAAGGAACTCTACATAGCTCCCAGCTGCAAAATGACGAGGGGAAAAAAATCCTTCCCAAGCCTTTGAGGAACCTAATCCCGGAGACAGTCGTCATGAAATTAACAAGGACCAGAGCAACGTCCTTAGGAGCCTGAGAATCTTTGTGGACGGACATTCCAGCCAGAAATGAGTCCTCCTAGTCACGCCCTGGCTTTCCACTGCCTCAATCTCCTTCCCTTTGGACGTTGTCCCTCCGTTCCTTACCTCTCCCTTGCCAGATCCAGAGGGAGAACTCAATTCCAAGGAAAAATACATCGCACCTTGACCCTCTACGTCTCCCTTGACCATCAAGGTCACCTTTCCCATCAGCCTTCCCTTCCTCCTCCAACCTTCGCCATTCAAACTATGCCCTTGCACTGCTAGGGTATTTCCTGACGGAGATTTTCTGTAGGACCCTTCAGTTGCTCAATGACCTTATCTACTAAATGAAGAGTTTAGTTAAACTATTGGACCTCTCAGGCCCTTCCAGCCCTAAACTCTCCATTCTTCAAGGGACCTTTCTTAGACTGTCAACTTGAACAGCAGGTGCCTGTCAGCATTGGTGGAGAGAACTTCTCATCCGGAGTCCTGACGACAAAATTCAAGGTTCTTCTGTCAAGAGTAACAATATCGAGTTTATAACCTGGAGGCTTGCAATCTTACCTGATTCAATTCAAGAAGCATTTCTCAAGTACTTGCTAACATACCTGGTACTCTGTTAGGTGTTGGAGATACAAAGAGAAATCCAAGAAGAATTCCTGCCTTCTCAGAATTTTCAATCTTCCGAGGCAAGGGGGGGGTGAAGTGGAGTGGGAAGGGGGTCAGTGATTCAACCAACAAAACAAATAACTGTAGGAGTTTTCAAGGAAGGAAAGAGGACCAACAATTAGGGAGGTGTTGCAAAAGTTGGTGGCACAAGAGCTGGGCCTTGAGGGAATCAGAGGATTGATTCTAATAGGAAGAAAGAAATGTATGCCAGGACTTGTAGACAGCCTAAAGTCCCTCAAGGGGACACCAGGCAACAGGCAGTTTGGGCTGGAATATAGCCAGCTTCTCCAGCTGCTGATGGAGGGGTCTGGTAGGGAAAATGTGGTGGGAGGGGATTGTAGGTCAAGATGGGACAGGATTGTATTGGCCAAGGTGGCTCATATCAGACCAGCACCTCAAGACAAGTTCCAGGTTTCACACAAAATGAGACAGTCCATTTGTCAGATCTCTAAAGGGTAGTTTATGTAACCCTAGAAGAAGAAAAATAGTTAGGGTCAGGAAAAGATATTCAGTGAGGATACTGCCTTAATCTAGTTGAGCTCATTTCTTCTGTCTCTGGGAAACAGCCTTTGGTGAACCTCCATCAAACCTCTGGATGCAGAGAGGCTTTTGTGTACTCAAGAGACTGGGAAGCTATATAAAGGACCTGGAAATCTGATTCTCCTGATCTGTCAGTCTCTAACAAGGTTTCAATACCTTTTAAGGGAAATAATTAGCTTAACCCAAATTTGAGGTAAGAGGGGACACTTCGGTAGTTATTCTTCCTACCACAAGATTCAGAGTCGATTAACCTAGGAATGAAGACTTCAGCCAGATAATGAATGGCTTTAAAGGCCCAATTGACTCTGGGTTTTTCTCATAGATAAATGAGGGAAGTTGTGGAGGTGGACCAGCCAAGACTTGGCAACTGAGTCACCTAGTGTGCCAGAGATAGGGGAGGTTAGAGTATGAACTATGAGGTGGAGGGTGGGAAGTTGGGTGACTGGAAGGATGTTGATGTCCTACATAGAAATAAATTCCCCCATCTACTCCAGTGGAAATGGTGGAGGGTTGGAAGAAAGATGAGCTCCATTTTGTACCTGTTGAATTTCAGAAGCTTTGGTAATATGCCACAGGAGCTCCAGAGTGAGATTTGGGATCCACGTACAGATGTTATAGTTCTGTCAAGAGGTAATAGACAGTGAACCTATAGCAAGTGATGAGAGAGAGAGACAGAGACAGAGAGAGAGAGAGAGAGAGGAGAAGGAGAAGGAGAAGGAGGAGGAGGAGGAGGGGGAGGAGGAAGAGGAAAACCCAGGATATCACAGCCTGAGGAGAACACCCAAGGTAAGTGGGCCTGCATCATGGGTGTTGATCAGAAAAAGAAGAGGAAGGAGTAGCCATAGACAGAAAAAGGAGGAGGCAAGTCAAGTGAAAGACTTTTTCTAGGAATTTCACTGTGGAAGGAAAAAATGAGGAAAGTGATAAAAGATGATATATTCCCTTGTGAAATTTTGTGGCAAGGTTTAGAACTCCTGACTTAGAGGTATCTACCAAGAGGAAAAAACAGAGGGTTTTTTTTACATGAGTATGTGGCAGAAATGAAGATTGTACAGATAAAATATACATTTAACATGGGTACATCTTGTGCTTCACATCCCTTCTCCATTCTCACCCCAAAGTGAAAGCAGTAGACAGTTTTGGGAGAGCTTTAAGAAACAGAATAGTCTTATTTAGAAGGTATGCTACATATAGATAAGAAAAGCCTCGAAGATATGAGCAGACAACAATAGAATCCTAGGTGAGAATTTGGAACCCCAGGACCAGTTTTGAAGCCTCTGGATTGATAAACCTTCAAAGAAACTGGTAAATTGAATGACAGTACTCCTTTTACTACATATAGAACAATAGTTCTAGTATTAAGCCTGGTGAGCTACCAACTACAGTTTCCCATACATATTCACCTGTGTGTATTACACCTGTGAGAGGAGTTAACTGATGGTAACCCTTTGAGGCCTACCTGATAATGACGTTCCCCAGTTTCACCTAGATGAGGTAGAAGAACTGGAGAAAATTTCAGGAGGCCTCCTGAAGTGTAGTTGGACCCTCCCTTCATGTCTGGAGGGAAACTTAGTTGAGATTCCATTGCTGCCTGACACAAGTGAAATTTCTTCAAGGTCTCCAAGGTCCAATCTTGGACCTTGTTTATCTCTGGTCAATTTCCTAGAATGATAGTTCACTCTGGAAACCATCCCAAGAGACTATCATGGAATGTTGAATTTGGAAGAGCTCACAGAGTCCATCCACTTCAACTTGCACCCAATAGAGAATGCCCCTACAGTATTTCCAACATGGGTCATGAAACAAAGGATCAAAATGTGAAATGCTGCAGGGAAAGTGGAAGAAAAGATAGATTTGAGAAAATGTTCATTTTATTTTGCAAATAAAAGTTCACAAATCACAATGTGTATGTGTATATATATATGTTTTAATATATATACATAGATTGTGTATATATGTATATATACATAGATGTGTGTATATACATGCAATACACATACATATTATATATATATATAATATATATACAATATATACACAATCTATGTATATATATGTATATATACATAGATGTGTGTATATACATGCAATACACATACATATATTGTATATATATTATATATATATAATATAATATATATATAATATGTATCAGTGAGTCAGTCAACAAGCATTTTTTAAGCACTTACTATGTGCCAGGCACTGTGCTAAGCACTGTGGATATAAAAAAAGGCAAAAAAGAAAGTCCTTGCTCTCAAGGAAACTCACCGTCTTCTAGGGGAGACAAAAAGGCAAACAACTATGTGCAAATGAGATATATACAGGATAACTTGGATAATCAACAGAAGGAAGGTACTAGTATTAAGGAGGCATCAAGAAAGTTTTCCTATAAATGTTGAGACTTGAAGGAGATCAGATAAGCCAGAAGTTGAGATGAGGGGACAAAGCGTTTCAGGCATGGGGGACAGCAAATAAAAGTGCCAGGAGTCTGTAGATGGAATGGGTTGTGTGAGGAACAGTGAGGAGGTCAGTGTCACTGGATCAGAGAGTACATAAAGGAGAGTAAGAAGACTGGAAAGATAAGAGGGGAGCAGGTTATTAAGAGCTTTAAAAGCCAAATGGATGATTTTATATGTGATCCTGGAGGTGATAGGGAGCCACTGGAGTTTATTGAATAGGGGAATGACATGGTCAAATCTGGACTTTAGAAAGATCAGTCTGATAGATAAGTGGAGGATACATTGGAGAGGCTTGAGGCAGGGATACCAATCAGTAGGCTGTTGCAATAGTCCAGGCATGAGGAGATAGAGCCCTGCACACGGTGGTGGATGTGTCAAGAGGAGAGAAAGGGACATGTAGGAGAGAGGTAGAATCAATAACACTTGGCAACAGATGGGGCTGGGGCAGTGAGGAGGTAGTGAGAGAGTTAGAAGTTGAGGATGATACCAAGAGTGTGTGTGTGTGTGTGTGTGTGTGTGTGTGTGTGTGTGTGTGTGCGCAGAATCTCCTGTGAGCCTCACAACCACCTATGGACATTATTAACTCCACTTTCCAGATAAGTAAATTGAGACTCAGAAATTAAGTGACTTCCTCATAGTCACAAAGCTATTAAGTATTAGGGGCTGAACCTAACCTAAGGTCTTCCAGGCTCCAAATCAAGTCATGTATTCACCATGGTAGAGGGCAGAGGGAAAGAGAGGCAGTATGGATATTAAATTGAAAAGATTGAAGGTCTGAGCTTGAGTCCCATCAGCCAGGAGACCATATTCTCTGATAAGATCTGAAAAATAACAACATACATAGCCCACCTAACAGGCTGTAAAAACATACACGTACATACATATACACATACATATATATACATACACACATGTATATACATATATATACACATACACACATATGTATATAAATATATATATAAGCTATACGTGCCATTATTTATATATGCTTTTACTATTGTCATGGAAATCAGTAGTAGCCTTAAAAATTATTATTCCCAGAGCCATGGTAACAGAAGGCAGATTACAGCATTTCAAAAAGGGAAGGGGACTGAGGGGAATGTAGACTGGAAGCAGAGCCTATACGTTTTCTCCACATTCCTGAATTTCTAAACCTCCTGATTATTGAATCCAACTCCAAATATTGAGTCTCCTAAACCTCACTGAGGCTGCTTGTTTCCCTGATTTAGTGACCTGCTCTGTTCAATCTCTAGTTACCATTCCGCCTCCTGGTGCAACTGTGGCTGCCATTGTGACAAGATAGCTGATTCTAGTACCTAACTGTGTGACCCTGGGCAAGTCATTTAGCTCCTTTGCCTCCAAAAAAGAAAGAAAGAAAGAAAAGTACTGGAAGGGATATAC